CAGGAAGGAAGATTGCACTTTCAGGTGAAATATCAAACCACAGTGCTGCTTGAGTGAAAGTAGGCTTCATCAGAAATAAATAAAAGGAATTCATAAAAGGAAATAATTTAAAACAAAAGTAAAAAGACAATACAGCTACAGCTTTTAAATGGCATGAGCATTATATCTAGTTACCCTGCTCATAAATATGAAACTCCGTCATGTTAGCGTTTAACTGTTGAATCGATCCCGTTCGACCAAAACAATGCCTATTCATACATAACTATTTTTTTTCACAGATAAAGTGCTGATCAAGGAGATTTTAGAGGGATTTTATTTGTACCATAAAAGACCCTTGGGAGAGATCTTGAGGAGAAAGAGTCCACTAGCTTTAGGATTTAACACGAGGAGGACCCCTTCTACTCAAGTCGTCCGGGTGTTAGCCCAAAATCTAGGGCGCGAACAGGTTACCATTTGACTCTGGTTTTCATATGAAGGCCATCACAGCAAAGGTACATTGCCTCCAAAAGCTAGAAAAAAAATCCCTGAGGTGCACATTCAGCTGTGTTGAGATTCCCAACCTGGCCCCAGAGGGTTCATTCCCATTTAGCGTATGGTTGGTGATCTTGGTTTGGTTAAACAAGCTTTCTTAGGAATTGAGAGCCACCACATCTTTTTTGTTATTATTTTTAATATGCCTGATCAAATTGATATACGTTTAGTATCTCTTTCAACACTAGCTGCCGTCTCACACAGCAATCATTCCAAACTGCTTTGCTTACAATTTTGAAGGCAAGTCTGGAATTTTGAACGTTTATTATTAGGCGAGAGGGAGAAAAGAAAAAAAAAAAAAAATCAAACGCAATCACAGCTTCCTCCAACACTTTGACATCTTATGTGCATTTTCAAACCTGCGTTTTTCTTGCACTGTCCACAAATTTTTCACTTTGCGTGGGTCAAACTTTCACAGACTCCATCACAGACAATTTCATGGCTTCCTCCAACAGCTGATTGTCTGTAAAAGTGGCGGGGGGTTCTGGGACGGACTCTGAAAGGCCAATCAGCGACTCCAGGAGGCAGGTCCCTGGGTCACTGGCTGCAGGGAAACTGGGATAACTAGGCAACTGAAACTGAAAAAAGTTGTCCATGTGCTCGTACTCCTTGAGGGAGTTGTAGAGGGAGGTGGGCCCCAAACAGGGGAAGCCATCGAAAAACTCCAGGTCTGACTCAGATGAGAGGCTCAGCTCCATGTCGTAGCTAGCTGAGCGATCGACTGTGGGAGAGGGCGTGTGTGGAACACTACAGCTATGGAAGAGAGCGTTTCCCTGGTTGGCATTCTCATCCAAAAGTTCTGAAATGGCTGTTGCTCGATTGTCTGTTTGATCGTCCGAAGAGTCCAGCAGTGCAGCGTCTATATTGTCATTCTCATCTGCAAAGTCCACCATACTAAAGCTACTAAACGCCTCCGTAGATGGCTGCTGTTGCTCTTGCTGTTGCTCTGGGCAACAAGTGTCTTTGTCGCTCTTATCACCGCTGTCCTTGCTACTTCTCGAACAGTTTTCTGTGTCACTGAAACACAGTATGCGGCTCAGGCCTTTCTCATCAACATCCAGCTGGGCGCTGGGCTCACACGGACCTTCGCCTGCCTCCGAGTCCTCACTCTGAGAGTCCGACAAGTCTGTCATATCGCTGCTGCAGCTGTTCTCCCCAGCTGTTGTCATCTCTGAGCTGAAGGGGAAGGAGGGCACTGCTGGTAAGGGGGTGGCACCGGTTGTGTTCTCCTCATCCTCTTCTGTGCTGGACTGCTCCTCCAGCCTCTTCTCCAGCTCCAGCTTCATTATAGTGTGGATGTAATGCGTCTGTACCCTGGTGGAGTTGAACTCAATGCGGCCCTCCGTGTTTCCGCATCCATCCTTGGTACATCCGCATGGAAAAGAGGAGTGGTCCATCTGCAAGAAGTAAAGAAAAGTTCTTAAATCATGCAACAGAAACTCCTAAGTTGCTGTGTCTTGCCCGGGTGCTCTTGATAGCATGAAATTGTTGGGGCTCTTACCTGACATTTGATGCCAGCCAGGCTGCAGCTGCAAGTCTCAGGTTCGCAGAACCCCTGACAGTCGCAACCACAGTTCTCCCTGGAGAGCCTCAGCTCATGCAGCTGCCTCTTTTCCTCCTTGTCGATCTTCTTCACACCAGCCGCTTTGAGCAGCGCATAGCGGCGCTTGGACGTGTAAGGCTGGAGAAAAGAGCCCTCGTCGACGTTGGCTCCACTGATGTCAATATCCTGCTCTGGGATGTCATCCACTGTAAGTTTTTCGGCCTCCTCGCTCTCCTGGGTTCCATTTTTTGTCAGCTGAACACAACAAAAGGAACAACGTTTATTTGTCATGTTGAACAGGCACAGTTTCATAGATCCCTTAACCACTGCATTTCTTTTATGGTGCACACCTTCAGTTTGAGAGCTTCCAGTTTCTCTTCCCTGAGTCTGTTGAGGAGTTTTTCCCGACGCAGGAGCCGCTGCTCCACGGCAAACTCTGCGAGCGAATATGTGCGGAGTGCACTGTGGCGTTGCATCATGCCCAGAGTGCATCCTCCTCGGCTGGGAACGCTGGTGAAGCCTTGGCACCGAGGGAAGAAGAACACCGTCACCTGGTCAAACGTCACATTGCCCCGCCGCGCTCGTTTGGATTTCTTAAGGATGGACGTTGCTATGGATGGAAAAAAAAAAAGAGGCAGGATTAGAATACATAATGCACAAGTAAGAGAGGAGGCTCTAAAGAGGGGGGATTCTTACTTTCATGCCACTAGATGGCATAATTCCCCAGCACTTGTACTTGAGAGGTGTATAAATGCTGCTGAACAGACTGTAAAAGGACACCCCTCTGATTCATTGCTCCCGCCTTATCATGTACCCAATTAAAAGACACTGCTAACAGGACTCTAACACGCTTACATCCTGTAAAGTGAAACCTACACTAACCCAAGAATCCATTTAGCTTTGTAACTTGCCCTACTGTGCGACAAAAAAAACAAAAAAACAAAACAAAACACCCAACCCAGGAATTTCCCTTTGTTGGCCAGGAAAGTGGAGGAAACAGATCTGCCAGGATCACAAAAGTGGTGAGTAAATGCTTGAGGCTTCCAGATGGGGGTGAAGGGTGGAAGTGTAGCCCTAAGGGCAAGAATAAAACCTGCCCACCCGGGTCTCGCTGCTAGCTGACAATCCCCACAAATGGCCCAGTAACTGAAACGGGCCAAAGGTTCTCTCGCTGTTAAAAAGTGCTCACGATCTTTCTAAACCCAGACAAATACAATAAAACCATATGGGAGCCAAAGTAGAACCATATGTGGGAAAAAAGCCCAATTATTCAAGTTTTATTATATATTCCACTTCCTCCACCCAGGAATATTCAACAAAACTTTAGAGACTCTTTTAGAGACAAGCAACTTTTTCCCTTCTGCCTGAGTCACCAGAACTTTTCGAATCTACAAGCCACATGTGTCGGACATTACAATTATTATTTGGTGGGGAAATCCTTGTAGACTTCTAGTTCGCCCTGAACTGGCCTTAAAAGACACGGAAAGCTGGTGTGATACCTGAAGCTTGGAAAAGTAACCTTTTACCTTAATAGAGGTAAGCGGCACACAATAGTTCTACTATGTGGTCTGATCTTCTGCTTGGGGTAATACACATAAAAATAAACTACCAAGGTACAGCTTCACATCCATCATCTTCTCTGCTGTGTCTAGCAGTCACTTCACAATTTCTGTGTAAACACTGGATTATAATGATCCAGCCAATCTGCTCCTTCAGATGTGTCTGCACGCCTTTTTTTCTTGATTGTCCTACCG